TTTGAAAAGAATGAAATTTTAAAATTAAATACGTGCCTGCCAATGTAGAAATTTACAATAATTTATTTATATCAATGTCAGGCGTTTTGATGGCTATCATTAGTCCTTTAATTGACTTCAGGCTTCACAGAGGGAAAGGAACATCAAAGAAAAATAAAGTTGAGGGGGGGGGGAGGGACAGAAGAGTGTTTCAAAGATGAAGGTAGAAAGGATAGAAAAAGGTGAGGTGGGTACTGTGAAAATAGTCGAATACGACATACAGTGGGGTGATGGTAGTTTGAAGTCAGAAGTCAACTGCCAGTTTATAGACTTTTCCCGTATGATATTTCATAGCCCACGGTTCCCCTATAATAGTTTAAATATTAATAAGCACTAAAAGTTAGGTGCAGGTTCAAGCCATGTTTATTATTTTTAAGGTCACAAATTTGCAGAAGACAAGAGCAGATCGCAATGTAACCCAAGAAGGCAAGGTGAATGTATTTGAAGTCTTTTTTGACTACATAAGGTAAATTATTTCACAAAAGAATACTCCTCAGTTAAGTTTATTTAAAAAGTTTAAAAGAATTTTTGTGTATGATAGCGTCGAAATAAATTTATATTCATTTCTTAAATGTTTTTTATTTGATCACAATATTTGTTTTTTGATTGCAAAGTTTCTAGCGCATCTTTCCAATTTCAGTCTTTATCATTTGTTGGTTATGGATTACCTAGATGAGAGAATAAAAAATTGTAAAAGCTTTAAGGATGATTGGACTCAAATGAGAGATTTGTTTTCACGAAAGTATGATGGTTTGCTTCGAATAATTTCTTAGACTTTGGCATCAATTGACATTGCTTCTTCAGGAATGTCTTAATAAACCTGGATTTGTCTCATCGCTTGATTTACAAGAGGTTTGCTCAACTTGTTTATAATCATATCTTCTTTTAGTTTGATCGAAAGTTTCTTAACTCGATTAAAACGAAGTAATTCGATTTTCTTAAATAGATTGAATTTTTAGAATCAATCCACTTTCCCTTGCTGAGTTAATCGTCCCTATCAGCAATGAGATGGTGACCAAAGGTTCGCCCTTCTTTTGTGTATTAATAGCTTTTAGATCCTGAAGCAACCATTAAATACATTGAAGACAACCGGAACAAAGTAAAATCAATTTATGCATATTTATAGTTTTTAGTATATGGAAATGAACGATGAAGCCTTGATTTTGTCTCAAGCCACAATTGGAATGATTAGGCTTATTGTTTTGCAAGACATGCCCGGTGCTCGGGACATCATTGAATCTACAGGAGAGATTTTGTCAAAAATTGATGGGGTCACTCCTGTCCATTCACGTTACTACAGAATGAGTTCGCAATACTATAAGGTGAAATTCAAAATTCTTTATTAATCTGTATTCCAATTGACCAATAGTGGTTAACCTCTACTTTGTTGTAGCTCATGGGTCAACACGCTGAATATTATCGCGAGGCTCTTCGTTTTCTTGGTTGTACTGATATCTCTGAACTCCCAGAAGCCGAAAAACAAGACTGGGCTTTCTCCGTTGGATTGGCCGCTCTCCTGGGGCAGGGGGTTTACAATTTTGGTGAATTGGTACGCTATTATCCTCCACTTTGTTTTTTTCTCTCATTTTTATTGAAGTAATTGTCCAAGTTATAATTATTGCTCTTTAGTTTCCAAGCATTTAGGTCGTATTGTTTCTTACATAGAGAACAGTTTATGCACTAAAGATAGGAAAACTTTCAGTTCCGTCAAGCAGTTTTTATTTGTTAGTTTATTTCCTTTTCATTCCGTTTTTAATGTAAATGATGGGTTAGCATCACTTTTTCTTTTGCCTTTTCTTGGAATAGATACAACATAATGAAATCGTTTTTCATTTTGAACCTACTGCATTTAAAGTAATTTCGATTCTAATTCTGCCTGGATTTCTGTATTCGGCTTCATTTAAATATGGAAGTTCTAGTTTCGTCTAGTGTACGCGTTAAAAAGATGTAATTCCGCTTATTTGTTCACTAACTGCAGGAGATAAGCTTTTTCTTTTTGGTCGACATATTAGAGCTAGCTTTTTTCATCTTAAGTTTATAATTTATTCAATTTACATTAAATTACAGATCTCTCATGAGATTTTGGAGTCACTCCGTTCTAAACCTGATGCCGTATGGCTTGTTGATCTCCTCCATGCCTTCAACCGAGGTGACCTCGACTGTATCGTGAAACTCAGACCGATGTGGTCGGCTGTGAATGATTTAGCAGCTGCTGAAGACCTACTTCAAGAAAAAGCTTTACTTCTTGCTCTTATGGAAATGTTCTTCCGCAGACCTTCCAATCAGCGCACTGCTTCGTTCGCCGACATCGCTGAAGCTACAAAATTGCCTCTGGATAAGGTTTGCTTTTTGTCATTTTGTACACATCTTTGTGTAATAATTTGCAGATTAATTCACAATCTTGTTCGATAAAAAGATGCGAGTTTTAGTAATGAACTGATAAGGTTTCGTTCTGCATACTTTGGGGCTTTTGCTCAAATTGAAATTTAGAAGAATTATTTACAATGCCTCATCTATTAAATATCTCAATCAAATTGTACTAAACAAAGTATTAATTTAGGATGGATGACAGTGACCCTACAATTTTATAACATTCTAATGTGTTGTTTTAAAACCTTCTTATGACAGAGCTCACTTAAGTGGCATTAGTTAATATCATGGTAATGGTGATACACTATGGTTCTTTACTAACTGCGTTATTAGAGGATATTGGTTCGAATCTAATCGTTGCTTTTAACGGGAAGATTAGTAGCAATGGTGAATTATAACTGATAATGGAAGTGGCAGAAATCAAGTCTTTCCAGGATCGCTTTGTTAGACTTAACCTCTACCCGAGATTGGAGTTAAGAAATTAAATCTTTATTGAACTTGAGAGTTATTTTTCTAATTTTTAGTTCAAGAGTTCCCCTTGACGCATTTTTTTAATCCTATTATTTGATTTTTTCCTTTGTAGGTAGAAGCTCTGGTGATGCGTGCACTTTCTTTGAACTTGATGAAAGGCCGAATCGATGAAGTTAATCAGACAGTCACTCTTATTTGGCTCCAACCTCGTGTTCTTGATATCGATCAGGTAAGTCGCTTCTATTCTGTTTGACAAAATATCTTTTACTGAAATCGTTATTAGTAGCTACTCCCTTCTCTTCATTACAGATTAGCAACATGGCTCAGCGATTGGCAGAATGGCAGAAGTCGGTTAAGTCAGTACGTGATTTGGTTTCACTGGATGCGAAGAAACTGCTTGTTTAAAGCTTCTTTTGTATTTACTCTAATAAACTACTTGTGTTAATGCATAAAATTTCACTGATGTGAGTATCTCTTGTTACGGAACTGTTGGGCTATTACATTAGTAAATTTTTATGTTTGTCACGTATTGAAATAATGAGGATGGGTTTACTTATTTTCGAGAAAAATATATCCATTTATCAAATGAATTTTTTTAGATATTGCCTAGTTGTTTTGTCTGAGTTATATTAAATGGTTCAATCAAAAAAGATAAAATCCTAAGTTATATTTTCTCTTTGTTTTCATCTTTAGTCAATTTTAATTGAGACCCAGCTAAATTAATTCAATTGACTTCCTCAATTGTAGTGTACCTGGTTTTCCATTTGACTACTTGTAATTGACACAATATATGAAGATGTGGGGTGCGCGATAGACTTACCTCCACGTGGTGCACCCTGGGCAACGTATTTTCTTACGGCAAAAAAGTCTATCACTCGGCATTCGTTTTTGACTTCGATTTATTATGATTAGCTTTAAAAAAGGCTATAAGAAAAATCGCCCTCGTCAGGGCGAATCACAACGTCTTCAGATCCTCCAGTGGAATGCTGGAGGAATGTCTCCGGATAAAAAGATCCAAGTACAGAAAATCCTACAAACCTATGATGTAGACATTTTCAAAATTATGGAAGCTAACATTTCGGATGACAAACTGAAGTACCACCAATTCCCAGGTTACACCCTGTACCTTCTACCTAAATATCGGCAAGTTGCAAGTGGAATTCTAACTGGAGTTAAAGAAGGCCTCACCTCACACTACGATCTAATCAAGAGTATGGGCTCGACACAAGGCATATGTGAAATAATCAGATTAAATGTTTGGAAATGTCAAAGCCACTTCAAGGTATATGCAGTCTATAATCCACCCCAGAATTGTCCCAACTTTGACTTTCTGAACATCTCACACAAAACTGTAGTATTAGGAGACTTCAACGCCCATTCCACCAGATGGGGCTACAAGGATACAAACATAGCTGGAAAGGAAATTGAAGACATGCTAAACAGCAACCCTCTGGAACTTATTTACAGCAATGAGGATCCGCCTACATATTTACACTACAATGGAACCAGAACAACTCCTGATTTACTCTTGGCTTCAAGCGACATCAGTGATCATACACGTCGCAAAATAATTGACGATCCTGGTTCTGGTCACAAACCAGTCATTGCTAGTATTACCATCGGCAGCAAAAGCATGTCAAGGAAAGTGCTAACTAAGCTATCATGGAACTTCAAGAAGGCTGACTGGCCTAGATTCACAAA